AGGGCCTGAGAGTTGTCCTTTAGCTTTTTTACTCAAGGCTAGCCCTCTACCACTTGAGTTACAGCTTCACTTTTGGCTTTTCTTGGAGCTTATTTGGAGATAAGAGTCTCATGGACTTTCCTGCCGTGGCTGGCTTTGACTCGTAATCCTCAGATCTCAGCCTACTGAATAGCTGGGATTACAGGCACAAGCCAGTGGCACCTGGCTGCTGAAGCTCTTTATAACTGCCAAGCGTCCCATAAGGACTCAGTCGGTGACAGCACTCATTCTGTCTCTGATGTGCTTTAACAGTGTCATATTCTTCGTTTGCCTGCAGGGTTTGTGTGCATCTTCTCACGGGTAAGTCACTTATCACAGCCTTGCTTTTCTGGGTCAAATGAAGTTTTCTGGGAGGTGGTAGTGGAGAGGTCAGTTTTCCTCACAGAAGTGTTTATACAGAAACAAAATCCTCCCTCTTCCAAATCCCTATCCATTATATTTGTTTTTTAATAAAGGTAGATACATTCCAATTAATACTAATAGAGGAAAAAAATCACTGGGCCTGTGTTTTAAAGTTCACTATCTTCTACAGCATTTGCTGACTGAAGCTTGAGTCATCTTAAATGTATCCATATTTATTATTTACTAATAGGATTAAATATTTGATAGAATTAGTTTCTTCTAGCACTCCTTGAAAAATCCTTTGGTTCTTTTGTTGTACGTTCTGTAATGAGAGCTTGAACTCAGTGCTTTGGCTCTCAGCTTGTTTGCTCTGGCTGGCATGCTACCGCTTGAGCCATGCCTCTAGTACAGCATTTTTTCTGATTAACTAGAGATGATGTCTCGTAGACTATTCTGCTTATGCTGGCTTTGAACCTCAGTACCCTAGGTCTTAGCATCCTGGGTTTAAGTGTGACTCACTGGAGCCCATGATATTCTTGCCAGTTTACTTTTTCAAACAAATTTACATGTATAAAAATTATGTGTTTTACAGAATCTAATGAACACTTTTCTGGGATTTAAAACAAAACTCTATAATGCTATGACAGCTAACGATAGAAAAACAAGAGTCTTCCATGTCAGGATTAAAGCGTATCTCCTTTTATGTGTTCTTTTTTTTTTGGCTAGTCCTGGGGCTTGAACTCACGTCTGGACTCTGTCCTTAAACTTCTTTAGTTCGAAGCTAGTGCTATATCACTTGAGCCACAGCTCTACTTCTGGCTTTTTTTTTTTTAAGTGATTTTTGTGGAGATAATCTCACAAAATCCTGCCTGGGCTGGCTTCAGACCTTAGATAGCAGACTCCTGAGGAGCTAGGATTATAGGCATGAATCACTGGGACCCAGCTTATGTTTTCTTTTAGTCCTGCATTTTAGTGTAATAAGTGTCTTAACACTATCATGGATAACCCCTGTTAAAATATTATAATAGTTTTATCAGAAATGTGAATCTGATCTCTTATATTCTGTAATTATATGTATAGTTAACACTATTGATTTTTGTACCTTTAGTCCCATTCCCTCCCTCCCTCCATCCCTCTCCCCCCCCAGCCTCTGTCAGTCGTGGGGCTTGAACTCAGGGCCTGGCTGTCTCTGAGCTCTTTTGCTGAAGCTAGCACTCTGCTACTTTGATCCACAGCTGTGTTTTGAGTGGTTAATTGGAGATCTTATGGGGACTTTCCTGCTTTGTCTGGCTTCAAACTGTAATCCTGAGATCTCAGCCTTCCGAGTAGCTAGGATTACAGGCATGAGCCACCAGCACCTGGCTTAGTTCATTTTGCCTTAATGTTTATTATGTTGGTTAAAGGATCTACACATGGTTAAATAGCATGTGGTAACAGAAGTTGTTCTTATTTGGTGTGTGAAGTACTTCTGAAGTACCTATCCTAGAGATAACCAATTCTTAACAATAGAGTAGTTTCCTTATCTTTATGGAAACAGGCTAGATTGGTATTTTTCATAGTTCTTAGAGTAAAAACTGGGCAACAGTGAAAGGCTGATCAAGTAAGGCTTTGGGTCAAAGTCAAGTCCACTTTTATCTTTTTTTTTTTTTTTTTTGGTGGTAGTGGGGCTTGAACTCTGGGCCTGGGCGCTGTCCCTCAGCTCTTCAGCTCAAGGCGAGTGCTCTACCACTTGAGCTACAGCACCACTTCCGGTTTTCTAGTGGTTTATTGGAGATAGGAGTCTCACGGTCTCTCCTGCCCCGGCTGGCTTTGAACTGCGATCCTCAGATCTCAGCCTCCTGAGTAGCTAGGATTACAGGCGTGAGCCACCGGCGCCCAGCCACTTTTATCTATTTTGTACCTTTGAAAATATATTAATGCTAAAAAATTTTGTCTGGTGTGTGGGTACCAGATCTGTTAATTTCAGCTCTTAGAAAGATCAAGAGTTTGAGGCCAGTCTAGGATACATAGTGAGACCGTATCTAAATAAATAAGCAAATTTCAAAAGTTGAAACATTTCAATGAGAATATAATGAATTATCCTTTGGGAGCTTAGTGGTAGAATGTGTATATAGCATGCATAAGGGCCTATGTTTAATCCTCACCCATATTCTTCCCCCCAGAGTCTCTCCCAATTCCAAATTCTGTAATTCAACCTTATTTTATCTTACTTTCACAATTGCTTCTATGTAGTATCTTCCAAATTTTAAAGAAATGAGAGGAAAAGTGGGATAAAAAAATTGCATTGACAATTATTCAGAGTCTAAAAAAAATACAAGGAAGAAAGCACAACTAGCAGCAAGCACTGCATTTGCAACACAATAGGTGCTTAGGAAATGGTTATTAAAGGACTGGGCAGAAATGAGCAAAAATGTACTTGCTTCCAAATGGAGAGCATGGTCTGGTGATAGAGCATTTTATTTTCTTTAGCTTTTCTGGTTTTTCCCTTTGATAGGGAAAAAATAGCAACCCAAATTGAAGTTTCTCACAACTGTGAAGTCACACTCATTATCTTCCTTCTACTTGGTGCTCTTTGACTTCTCATAAGGTTACATCCCATAAATGTATTATGAGTTGCAAATATCCTGAGTGAAAACACATTTAACACACTAAACCTAATACCCTGTTTTCAGCTACTGTTCTGAACTCTTTGTTTTTAACACCACCTTGCATCATCTAAATGAAAACTTAATCTTTCTTAAACAACCACTTATTTCCTATATAAGTGTACAATTTTCTTTTGTTTGCTCACTTAGAGTAATATGTTGTCTTTACATATCAATTCTCAACTTCTTTTTTTTTGGGGGGGGTCCGGTCGTGGGCCTAAACTCTGGACCTGGGTGCTGTCCCTCAGCTCTTCAGCTCAAGGCTAGCGCTCTACCACTTGAGCCACAGCACCACTTCTGGCTTTTTTCTTTTTGCTTATGTGGTGCTGAGGAATGGAACCCAGGGCCTCATGCATGCAAGGCAAGCGCTCTATCACTGAGCCACCTTCCCAGCCCAATCAACTTCTTTTGATTCCCCAAACATATCCAACCTTTCTTCCAAGCTAGTTAGTCCACAGTCCTTTGAACATTAATAGAACTCTTCAATTTCTCTGTTTTTGGCCTTTTTAATTTAAGAATCCAAGGGAATACCTTGCCTTCTGCCTAATCAATCATGGCTGAAGTCTTGGGCTTCCTATTTGAAGCCTCTTAGAGCATCAATATTGTCATATTAATGCTGCTTTGCTAATTATACTTCTTACTCAGATATATGACTTTGACATAAATCCAAGTCATAAAATTCATGTAAAACTTTTTTTGGAAAGATGGGACAAATCTCTATACTCATAAAAGCTCTCAAAAATCTTTTTGCTCTTAATTCTTCATAGTCTCAAATGTCTCATTGCCTGTATGCCATGTAATTTAGTGTTTAAACTCAGAGTTAATAACAAGGATCTTACAAGGATCCTAATGTCAGCTAACCCTGTTATCTCCTGGAGAGTGAGAATGTTGATTTATACTTAACTTGGTATTCTCTACTGTTAGCCTCTGGGTATTTGTCAAACACTTGCTCATTAAAAGGAAAACATTTAAAATCAAATGTTACATCACTTGCTGCAGGTAGATAGCAATCTAGTCTTCTAATTTAGTTTTTCTAACTTTTCACAGCAAATTCCAGAATATCCTATATTTTCCATTTAAAAATAAATATCGCTAACACCATTGGGCAAGTAAGACATATGGCAATATAGAATGCTTTGGTAGCACTATGGCTGTGACTTAAATTACTGTAGATCAAACTGCCAGAAGCTGAGAAGATAACTGAATTTTCCTCTTCCTTTATCTCTAGTGAGGATAGAAGATAGCTGTATCATGCCTATCGATGAAAATATTTAACAATAAAAAACTGAAAGCACTGCTTTATAACTTAAATAATATAGTCTTACTACCAAATGTTTTAGTCATAGGATCTCTTGGAAGCTTGAATGGAAGCAAACTTTAGGGTTTTAATTATGGATGAAGCCACACAATTCTGGAAGCAAAGTATAGCAGGCAGCCAAAAATGTTACACATATGATTTTACTCCAAATGGGTACATTGGCCAAATGGTGAGGCCCTGCACAATCATACATTTTGACCACCTCCTCCATAACCATCCAAAGGAATCTTGAGAAATCTGTTATCATAGATAGGAGTTCTGTATGTTGATTATGGCTTCAGTAGGGCAAAATCAAATTGTTCTTGTTTCTCATGGTACCCTCAATAGTTCTGGATTGAATCTGAACACATTACAGCTTATAGTTGTTCAAGATCTTCCTTCAAATAAAAGATGGGAAATGGAAAGATATACCTTCTATTTCTTTGTGCACAAAGGTGACCTTACTATTCTTCCTGTAGTCATCAGTTTTCTGGCTGATTGAAAAAAAATTAATAAAAATTCACCTGTCATTTACTCCACTATCAGGGGTCCAAAAAAGATGCTGCTTCATTAATTCTATCTATTGCTGAGAACAAAGATATTGAGTCAAACTAATAAAATTAAGACGGTTTTGGAAAGATGGAAAAAAAATCTCTATATTCATCATAGAAACTTACCTTTAAAAGACTAAGGTTCCTTTTAAAAGCAGTCTCAGCTGCTGGCAGTTGAGATACCTTTTCTGTGTTTTTGTTTCCAGATTTATTCTTCATTTGTTGAAGTAGTATTAGTCTTTGTGATACTCTGAAAAAAGTGAAGATTATATAAACTGAAAAGAATTTAAGAAGTAAATGATCTTATTGCCTGACCAAAGCACAAAATAAGTTTTAATTGCATTAAACTTCAACTATAACCTATTTTCTTTGAAAGTTAATGAGTAGGTAAACTAACACGACAATGAAAACTATTGGTGATCCTCTAAGTTTCAAGTCAATTTGGATAAAATTATTTTCATTAACATGAATCTATTCTTTATATATACCATAAATACATGCTTCTCTTCTTTAGCCTCTGTGGTCTTTTGAAATTATTTTAGAGTGTTGAAGATATGTTTTAATTTTTGGTGAAAATGCAAACTGTAATACATATCTCCTTGTACACATAGTTATATATACCTCCCCACACACATACATTGATATAACTTGCTATATGAAACCTTCTGCTTAACACTTCAGTACCCCTGAATCTCATGTTACACATTTAGAATTGTGCTAAACTTCCATATGTTTGAAGAAGCAATAAAAATATTTTTTTCCTCTTTTTCCAAGAGAAAGATGATGGTTTGATATATGAGTGAGAGGCAGTGTGTATATATGCATGCTCACAACAAGGTAAAACAGTAACTAAAGAAAGATGGGAAAAGTTAAAAGTAAATTCTCAAACTATTTCATTATATATAATATACTTTAAAAGTTCTATGCTGGTCAGATGCTCGTTTTTCAAGTTTTTAAGGGGCAGGGAACCTTTAATCTGCCAAGGGCCATTTGGATATTTATAACGTCATTTGTGGGCCATACAAAGTTGTCAATATAGACAGATGGCACAGGCAACTGACAAGAAGCATATGAGAAGTATATATGTCTGTCCTGTCATGTACCAAATGATTTTGAAGGCCTTCTAGGCTGGGGCCGGATGTTCCCACCCCTATAAGAAAATATGTCAGATGACTGAAAATACATAAATGGTATCCACACAAGTGGAATCCTTAAATAGTTGTAAAGGTTTTCAGAAAACATTGTTTTATCCTAGGCTTGTCTTGAAAGTGGAACTAAAAACTGAGCTCTTTGAGCAGTTTTTTTTTTTTTTTTTGTAAAGAAGTATCTTAGAGGCTTCAGGAAAGTCTCAGCTCTCAGAGGAAGAAGAAAATTGATTGAGGCCTGGCATCAGGGATTAAACCAAGTGTTGGATCTGTATGGATTACACACCCATGAATATGAAGTCAGCCCAGATAGGAGGCTTAGAGATATCTATTAAGTACCAATGTGTAGTCCAGAAAGGGAGAGATGAAAGGTGAAATTATTTAGAAATTATAAACAAAGAGATACTGAACAATAGTGCCCTCTTAGTTGCTGTTAAGAGATAATGAAATTTCCTGTACCAACATCTCTTTAAGTGTGGTGTGAATAAAGTTTTACATAAAATTTTACCTAAGTTTTTGTGTAAGAAAGTAATACACATTTGTGTACATAATAAAGTACTAATAAAGGTGTACTAATAGAGCCAGTACAACTCTGTATTTAGGTAATCCTTTTTCAAAACTTACATTTCTTCATGTCTTTTAGAAAGGCGAAATTCTTGAGCAAACAAGGAAGTCATCTTTGATCAAAAGATAAAAAGAACACATTTAAACACATTTCTATGTAGGATACATAACTTTGCATATGCCAGACTCATCCAAGAACACCAAGGTCAGGTAAACACATTTCACATTTTCTTCTCTTTAAGAAAACAACAACAACAAAACACCCCTCTAACCTTTATCAGAATGAAAAACAGGCAGTTGGTACCAGGAGTAGTGAACATTTTATTGTATCAACAGAAGAAAATCCACTCACAGAAACACCGTTCCTTGCGTGCACATGCACGTGCGCTTGCACACAAACATACATACACACACACACATACACACACACACATACACACACACACAAAAGCAAATGAGTATGAGAACCAATTGGAAACTTCGTGGTCTTTTCTTTATTGGAAGACTGCCCAGTCCTACCATGCCTCTTCCAAACAAGTATTTTTCATGTGTAACTGTGAGGAAAAGCACAATTCTCACTCTACCCTGGCTGAGTTTAGAGAAACCTCTTTTGGTGACACACCTTACATCAAAAGCAAGCTCACCTTGGCTAACAAGCCTGGAGCAGTACAGACAGGAGTCTGCCCTGAAGGTAGCCAGGTCTGAGGGGCACACCAACTGGAGGGGCAGAGACCAAAGGGGCTTAATCCAAGAACAAGAGAGACAGGAATGGAATTTCCTTTCTCATCTCAACTTTCTGAAATTACAGATTGTGTTGCCACCGGCTCGTTCTGATTGTCCAGTGCCCAGCGCAGATGGAAAGCCTGCGCTGTGCTTGGAGCCCGGGACTGTGGGCCGTGGCCTGGGGGGAATGGGTCCTCCATGGGGTTTCCCCGGGGCCTGCCTTCAGCACCGAGGACAGCGCCGCGGCCCGGCCCGCCCCTCCAGGCTCTCCTTAGATACTTGGCATCTCAGATCCCCGCAGAGCAGGCCAGCCCTCGTCATTTCCTTTTCCTTTTTCCAGTTTCCTTTTGCCACGGGGGTCCCGGGAAGGCAGTCTGGAAGGAAGCCCAGAAAGTCAGGCCGGGGCTCACTTTTCCGTGACGCCAGCCCTGCGCGCTCCACACGGATCCCTAAGGAAATCCTGCCTTCGGAACCAAGGATTCGCACCGGCGTCAGCACGGCGACCACCCCAGCACTCCCTTTTCCCTACGAACAGAAACCACACACTTCGGAACTTTTCTCATCACCCCGATCTTCCCCTTAACCACCTCCTGCTCACCGGCTCTGCAGACTCCCGCCCAATGCCTGGGACTTGGCGCGCCGAGTGCACCTCCAAGGACTACCGGGAAAGGCGCTGACGCGCACTGCGCCTGCGCAGGGTGGAGGCTTCCGCGCCGGGAGGGGGCGTGGTCATGGCCCTCCCTTTGCGCACGCGCAAAATGGTGATGACGTCGGCACCTCTATAAAAGGCGGGCGTCTGGCTGGCGCTGGTTGTTGGGCGTCGGAACTCTGAGGAGAATCCTGTGTTGTGTGGTGGTAGGCCGGGCGCGGGAGGGTTCCCCGAAATGTTTAATTTGAACCTCGGGAAGAACGTAGCTCTCCTCCAGTGAGCCTTAGAGTGCAGCCGGTTTTCAGGAAGCTAGAATGTTCCAGGTGTTTGCAAAACCCGTCCGTTCAGCGTCCGGCAGAGCCCCCCCCTCCCCGGTGCTTCGTGGGCCTGAGGGGCAACATGGTGGGGGAAGGCCTGGGTGTCCGTGTCGGCGCCTGGATTATGCGCAGTATTTACTGCGTAAATCCCCACGCTTCCCCAGTGGCTGAGGGTACCATCAGCCCCATTTACCCAACAAGGAAACACACGTGGCTGTCAGTCACCTCGGGTATAAGAACTTCTTTTTAACAAATGCATTATCAAGCGGGAGTACAGTTCCTTACCTCGGGTTATGGATCCAGTGCATCTTGATCGGTGCCACCCCTTCCACTGCCCTCTCTGTGTCCCCCCTCCCATCCCTACCCTCAATTACGTAGTTCAGTCTTTCTCCTCCCTCTGCTTGTAGGTTCCTCCCAATTGCCCCCTTAAGCATTGGCCAGTAAGATGCATTATATTCTCTCTCCTTAGGGCACAGAAGAAGGAAGAAAAAAAAAAAAAACAAGAGGCAAAACTTGCCTGGTGCCCGTGCCTCACGCCTGTAATCCTAGCTACTTCAGGAGCTGAGATCAGAAATTGACGGTTCAAAGCCAGCCCAGGCAAGAAACTCCACGAGACTCATCTAATTAACTATCTACCAGAAAACTCGAGGTGGAGCTGTGGTTCAAAGTGGTAGAGCTCTATCTTTGAGCGGAAAAAGCTAAGGGACAGAGCCCAGGCCCTGAGTTCAAGCCCCTACATGACAAAGCAAACAACAAAAAAGAGAGGCAAAACTCATCAGGGATATTTAGCTGGCAGAGGGGACAGAACTAGAATTCCCACCCAGGTGTTTTAGTTCCCAGCATATCTACATAAACCTTATTGTCCATTTCAGAGCTGTTGATTGATTTTAAGACTTCCTTTGCCTAGAAAGCTCCTTCCTCCCCTCCCCGCTTAGGGCAGGTAGAGTTCCTCACATCTTTCAATGCTTCACAGCATTCTTCAGTGCCCCAGTGTAAGGGCTCCATGTCCTGCCTACTTTTCCTTCTGTTACATTTTTTTTCATAAGACAGAGACATTATTATTTAAACACTGGTTTACCATTGAAATTCAAACTGGTTTTCCATTGTATCCTCCACAACTACAACTGGCTGGACCTGTAGATACTCAATGTTTGTGAATGAATAAATGAAATCTGTCCTGTGAAATATCACCAAAATTTTGGAGAGCTGTCTTCAGTTGATAAGATCTGTCCAGTTGATAGACTATTCCATACCTTTACCTTAGTAAAGACAAACAACAACATAAACCTGACCTTGGGATAGTCCTATGTACTAGGGATGAAATAGAGCTCTTGTCTAGTTACAAGGCATTCAAGATTTTTGTTAAGGTAGTAATGGGTTTCATGAAATAGAATTTAGTGATTGCACATGAAAGTGTGTATGTTGCTGAAGACAAACTTCATTTGCCTCCTTGCTATGTGTAAGTTTACAGGGCAGCACAATTGGGACACACACTCTTTCAGCATTGAGTCCAACTTTTTGGGGTCATTGTCTGTCATAGCAGTGAATCAAGGAATAGCTTGCAACTTTTAGGAAAAGAGTAACCAGGAATATATTATAGGTACTTAAAGGTTATCTGAAGAGAGTGATAATTTAGAGCATCCCATAAAAAATGCTCTGCTTAAAGAGAGACTATGACAGCTTGCTTTCTCAAGACTTATTTCACAGATGATTTGTTCTTTGAGACACCTGGCTCATGAGGAAGAATCTTATTTATTTTTTTTTTTTGTGAGGAAGAATCTGAAGCAATTACATTGTATTAGTATGCAGCTCCATTTTACTAGGTAAGCCTGAGTACTTTCTGAAGTGAGACATTGGTTGTCTAGAATGCAAAGTATTCTGACTATCCAACACCTGGCTCTTTGTGTGTGTGTGTGTGTGTGTGTGTGTGTGTGTGTGTGTGTGTGGTGAAGTTAATAAGTCCTGATTCCTGGACTTGATCTTGCACTAGATTACTGTAATTTACCCCCTTATTCGCGTGCACGCGCCAGTGCCAGTCCTGCAGCTTGATCTCAGGGTCTGGGTGCTGTCCCTGAGCCTCTGAGGCTCAAGGCTTGTGCTCTACCACTTGAGCCACAGTGCCACTTCTGGCTCTTTCTAAGTAGTTTATTGGAGATAAAACAGTCTCATGGACTTTCCTTCCTGGGCTGGCTACAAAACTGTGAACTTCAGATCTCAGCCTTCTGAGTCGCTAGGATTACGGGTGTGAGTCATTAGTACCAGGCCAAAAAATTTCTTTACTAAACATTTTTAAGGTGTGTTTGTAAGAATTTAGAATCTGGCTGAGCACCTCAGATATACCCAAAAGTGATAGAGGGTATTGTCTGATTTGATGGAGTGACTAGTATGTATTTAGTGTTCTTTCTGTATCAGGTAATTGGCATCATTTCCTCACCTATGAACCAGGGTATTGAACTCTTCTTCTAGTTGATAAAATTGGGGGTTACTGATTATATTGCTAGCAAATAAATACATTTGTTTTTCCCCAATAAACAAAACAATTTTTACTTTTCTAATAGAAAAATCTAAAAAACAGGAAATATCTGGCTATAATTAAGGAGTACAGGATATTTGAAACTTCTGTTGTTCTTTTCATACTAATGAGATAGCTGTTGCAGTTGCTTTTTGGTGGTTCTCAGTTAATGTCCCATTGGTGCATTGCCTTTGGGGCTATAGGCAGGCAAGCTCATCTGTGGCCAGGAAGCTCAAAGACAGCACTCATTTTAAGTAAGTCTAAATTCTATTGAGAAAATGCCTAGAGAGCATTTTGGAAGACTGAGGTGGACTTTGGGAAATGAGTAGAAAGTGGACATGTGACTGGATGTGTCACATAGCAGGGAAATATAGTGGGAGTGTGCCAGTATATCTGGGGTGAGGAATAGGGTAAAAGAAACAGAAGAGTAGTTCCATTAACTTTCCTAATTTTGAATTTTTTTCTTTTTTTATTGTGAAAATACTGTACAGAGGGGTTACAATTACATGGGCAAGATAATGAGCACATTTCTTATCAATCATTGTAGCCTCCTTCTTTGTTTCCCCTTATCATCCCTTCCCATCCTCCTCTCCTCCCACCCTTTCCAATCTTCCTCCCCCCCCCACCAAAGTTGTAAAGTTCGTTTTTCCACATAACGACTTGCACATCTCATTGTTTCAATGGATCCACCTGTATCCCTATTTAAACGATTTGTTTTTTCCCTTCCCCTCCACAAATTATACCAACCTCAAATACAGGGAAAGCACCAGAGAATTAAAAAATGGTAGGTTGGCAGTAATAAACAGGTGTTCTGGAGGAGGTGAGATAGGCAAGTAGAGAATAGAAATAAGGATGGGAAAGGAAGGGTTGTTCATGAAAATGGGAGGACAAGGTTTGAGGAATAAAATATAATTTAAAAGAATCATTGGTTACATTAAAGATTACAAGTTCCTAAAAGTACATTCTGTTACACTATGTGCAGAATTCATCTTTTTAGATTCCCTTTGTGTTTCCTCTGGGTAGTCAAGTACTTAGGAAATAAAGAACCTATAGCTGAAATGGTTTTGATTTTTCTTTATTCCAGGCATTTGGTAAAATGGCTTCATTAACTGTATATCTGTTTTTCTTCACTTTGAAATAAAAAATCATTAGATTTTTACTTCATTTCATATTGGTATTGTCCATTTTACTATGAGAAAACATTCTACACTCAAAATGTATCTGAAATGCTTTAAATAAGCCCTTGATAGATTTTGACCAAAGAGAATTTATGACTAGGTATCTTAGGAGCTCTTGTTACTTAGTGAACTAGGTGCCAATCTAGGTCCAATCAGATAAAATGCTGCAATAGAGAAATCATTATCACAGCTGGTTACCTGTGTTGTAGACATTTTTGATTGAGATAACAAAATCTTGCAGACAAAATGATGCTCAGTCTTAGAGATTTTCAAGGAGAATTTACATATGCTTTTTAACTTTTTGGTTCTAAAATTTAATAAAGTATTAAGATTTTTGCACTGAAATTGCATTAGTAATTCTTAGGAAATCATTTGTATGTTGTTTGCATGTATGTATAATGTTCATCTTCCAAATACCAGTAATTTAAAGTTGAAGCAATCTTTTTGTTTTAAATTCTCTAGTTGCATGCATATATATATGTATATATATATATATATATATATATATCTTTCTACATCTTTCTATCTATCCATCTATCTATCTATGTCTTGATTTCCCACTGGCTCTCCATATATTCACTAGTCTGACTGCTTATTTCAGGCTTTCTTTGATGTAGGCATTTTGTCATTCATGATCTTCCTATCTCTTTTTTTCCTCCAGATTTTCCCCTTTTAGTCTTATAATCTTGTAGTGACTTTTAAAAATTATTCCACTATTGAATAAGCACAGTGGCACCTACCTATAATCCCAGTATTTTTTTTAATTGCTTTTTAGCAATGACTTTCTGAAATTGTAACCTAAGTATTGTATTACTGGTTTATTCTTATAAACATTTCTAGCTTGGATTTAATTGCTTCTTTTAATGAAGTGCATTAATAAGTTCAATTAGTTAATTATACACTTGGGACTTAGGTAATTTTTATATTCATATTTTTCAGATATAAAATTGATTCCTGAGTGTCTTTGTATTTATCCCTGCTTTACTTGGACTCAAAAAACCCAACCTGAATGCTATAGAATTAGAGTA